ATTTTTCCACAGGTTCCGTGTTAATTTTTTTCTTTTTCCCTGTTATGTAGTTCTTGGTTCAGGATCATCCTCTCAACACTCTTCTTTTGGCCAATGTCTGGCAGAGTCTGATGGTTTTCACTCTGCTGGCTTAAGATAGCAATCCCTGGGTGGTGCGTATGGGGACACACTCAGCTGCACAGTCAGAATGACTGGAGGTTCACCGCTTCCCTTTTAAAAGTAAAATAAAAATTCCTTCATTGTTTTACAATCCTTCCCCACAGGTCCACTCCACTGTGCAGCCTTCACTCTGGACTCCTGTCATGACAAAAGTACCTAATAATTTTCCCTTCTAAACAGTTTCCTCCCTCATCTGTTTCAATGCAGTATACATTCTTGAACTCATCTTTCTCAGTCTCCTCTCACCCTGGTGTCAGTCTTGTTTTACAGCAGTGGCACCATGCAGTATTTGTCCTTTTGTGACTGAGATACTTCACTCAGCATAATGTCCTCCAGGGTCACCCATTTTCAATAATATTGCATGAGTTCCTTGTTTTTCAGTGCAGCATAGTATTCCATTGTGTGAATATACCACAGCTTCTCTATCCATTTGTTTGTTGATGAGCACTTAGGTTGTTTTCAACTCCTTGCTATTGTGAACAAAGCCACAGTAAACATGGGTGTGCATATATCTGCTTGGGTGGCATTTATGGTCTCTTTGGGGTATATTCTCAGTAGTAGAATTGCTGGGTCAAATGGTATCTCTATTTGCAACTTTTTGAGAAAGTGCCATATCGCCTTCCACAGTGGTTGCACCACTTTACACTCCTACCAACAGTGAATTTCCAGTTTCTCCACAACCTCGCCAGCATTTGTTGCTTGCTGTTCTGTTAAATTTTACTATTCTGACTGGGGTGACATGATATCTCATAATTGTTTTGATTTGCATCTCTCTTAGAGCTAGGGATTTTGAACATTTCTTCATGTGCTTGTTGGCCATCTGAATGTCTTCTTTGGTGAAGTGTCTGTTCATATCCTGTGCCCATTTTTCAACTGGATTATTTACCTTTATCTTGTTGTGGTGCTCAAGTATTTTATAAATTCCAGGTATAAGTACCTTATCTAATATGTCATTACCAAATACTTTTTCCCAGTCTGTGGCTTCCCTTTTTACCCTGTTGGAGAAGTTTTTGGATGTGCATAAGGACTTGATTCTTAGAAGGTCCCATTCATCTATTTTATCTTCTCCTGGTTGTAGGATTTCTCATTATTCTTAAAAGATATTTTTGAAATCTTGTCACACCAAATTACGACCAATTTTTATTTCTTTTTTTTCCTAATGACACCAAAGTCACTCCCATTTTAGTCAACTCTTATCCTCCACCTGGTTGGTACCCAAGGCTGTAAATCTTCACAGGAGCAGACTTCTCATCTTTCTGCCCTGGTACAAATCCAGGCATGTTGGCAGTCAGCTGAGCTGGAGGTAGAAGTGGCACCTCCTTGTAAACACCGAGGCATCCCACAGGGACACCTGTCTCTGTAAAGTGCCAACACAGTGTCTTTAATAGTTAACCTTAATCCTATCCAAAGTTACACTTGTTTTGTATCATCAAGTTGGAGTAGACCTGTATCTGGCCTCCAGCAGGCTTTCAGAGGTGGTCAAGTATCCAAGAGGAGATTGTCCATATTTCTCCTGAACAGCAACAGGTAGATTTGACCCGTGCACCTTTACATTAGCAGTGCAATGCCTTACCACTAAGCCACCAAACACACCAAGGAGAAAGGCCTCCAAACTTCTCACCATTGAGGTCTCTTTTGGCATGGGACCTGCAATCAAATGGAATCTTAAATTGAGGACAGATAATAAGAAGGCGGGAAGTAGATCTGTTCTGAGACAAGGCTGCTTGGCTTCTTCTGAGCCAACACAACCAATAACCCGGAAACAGTTTCTAAAACTTGGGACCAGATCTTCCCCCAATTGAAGAAGATTAAATGTCTGTCAGTGATTCTCCTTAAGCATGAGAAATGCTTGATGCCTCCTTCAGATAAATTGGTTCTAAGAAATACGTCCAGAAAACAGTGGAACGGTTACTGAATGACAACACTTCCTGAACATTTTTTATCATGGGCCCTTTTGAGAATCTGATGAATTTCCTTTTTTTTTTTCATTGTTGTGAACCGTCGAATCAAATCCGACTGGTACACGAAGAGATTGCCCCTTCTTGTCCAGCAGAGAATCTGGTGGATTCAAACCGCATACCATCAGTGTTGCAGCGCAGCTTCTTGCCACTAGGCCACCAGAGCTCCCTTTCTGATTAATTTCTAAGTGCGCACACACTCAATACTTTATGGTCCATTTTTAAACAGAGTTTGGAACCTGTGGAACCTCTCTAAGTCTCCACTGACTCTGGCCTAGAAGTACTGTTCTCAGGGATTACTATTTTTTTAAAAAAAAATCAGGAATCTTAATATTAAGGATTATCTACCTGAGATCACTCCCCTACCCCAATCCAGAAGCCAGGCCAGCTTCTTCATTCCCATCAGAGACATGTACCTCACACACTGCCCCCCCCCAAGTTAGTCCACTTCCAGCACTATCAGGGATCTTCCTTGACCTACTACAGGGGTCCTCTGTGCCTCCTAAGAATATGGAAAGACCTTGAGGCCCACTTCAGCCTCCCGAAAACCCCTTCAGTGGGGTACACTCGGGGGCGGCCTCCCATATTATTGGAGATTTATGAGATTAAGGACACTTGACAGCCATGCAGCTCCTCCTAGATCCAAATTAAGAATGAAGGGTAATCTGGCTTTCTCCTCAACTGAGCTAACATCCTTCCTACCCAGGCCCCACCCCACCTTCGGATTGAGCCTAGGAGTGGGGATGAGAAGCCTGAACCCCCATCTAACCCTGTGTCTCTCTGGATACACTTCATCCTCTTACCTTCTGGCTGACAGGAGAGCCAAGCTCCAGCCTCATCTTACTCCCCTGAAACCGGCTTTTGAATAGGAAGCTTTAACTTCTCACTCTCCTCTCACTCCGGGAATCTGGCTGTGGAGACGAGAGTCAGCTAATCAGCGATCTTCTGGTTCTATTTTCTTCCCTGTGACAAAACATTTACAGCTCAGCCTGAGAGACTGGAGCTGCAGGGGAAGAGAACATGAAAAACACGGCTTTCTTATTTTTCAAAGTAACAACACCATGCCGTGAACAAAAGCCGGTCCTTTTTTTTTTTTTTAAATTCAGGAAGTAAAGGATGAGAAGCCTGAATTCCCATGTGGTGAAGGTGTCTTTGTTGTCCCCCAGTCTTTAAGGTGGACGGCTGGACATGAAGCACGCGTGGAGTTGTACAGGCTTCCTGCAGATGGCTTACAACACTTACCCAGACGCAGGCTCTGCTGAAAGCCCTCCAGCTGCCTCACAAGACATTCTCATCGGTGGGTTTTTCCCAAGGCATGACATATTCTCCAAACTCGCCACTCACCTCTTCATCTTCCCTATAATCTCTTTGAGCTGCTGCTTATATTTGGTATCTGGGTGACACTCTTTCATTACCTGAGGTCCGTTTGAAATGGAAGAACCTGTTCTCTGGCCAACAACTAGACAGCTCCTTTGTCTTCTCTAAGAACCAAGTTCAAGTTCCTCTCCCTCTTCTCCTGCATTCAACTAGGCGCCTCCCACTTCCTGTTGAAGTAACATGACATCGATTGACTGTTGACTTTTTTGCTAAGTAAGAAAGATGGGGCCATCTGTTTCCAACAGAAAGGGGTGGGTTTTATTTGATGTCATTTTTATTATCCAAAGAGTAATTAGGCCAAAACTAAAGAAAGAAAGACCATAAAAGCAACTGTGGCTCAGTGGTAGAATTCTCTCCTTTCCCCAGAGATTCGGTGGACTTGTGGTAACAAGCTGTGCTGCAACCCCAAAGGCACATAGTTCGATTCCACCACATGCCCTGTGAGAGGATGGGCAGTCTCATCCTGTGTGATTAACTGCCTTTGAAAGCCCACTTGAGGGTCAGCAATGGGTCAGTTCTGACTTGACAGTACACAGCAACAATATGAGAGGTTTGGTTCCTAGTGAACTCACTGCATGTGCCAGCATCCATCTGTCAGTAGAAGCTTGGAGCACAGGGCAGGTTATGATCCTGGATAGACTCAAGGAACTTCCAGACTAAAACAGACCAGGAGGAAAAAAAGGGCTGTTGATCTAGTTCCTAAAACTTGTTGTTGTTGGTGTTGTTGTTGTTAAGTGCCGTCAGGTCGTAGGCAACTCATAGCGACCCTGTGAACGAAAGTCCTCAACACTTGTTTGACTTTCATCCTTTCTCCAGGGTCATAGGGTTTCCAGAGACAAGCTATTTATGGAAGTGGATGCCACTCCTGCTTCCAAGCTTGTTTTAACCAGGGAACGCCACCAAACACTGTCCACCGTGGGTAACCATTCTCAGATTTGACACATCAGTCACAGTGTTCAGCTTCACAACAACCACGTTACCTCTGTACAACAGGTGGACACACCAGGGCTATATGACCTAGAAGAATGTTTGACCAAAAACAATGAAAAACTGGCCCAAGGGCCATGGATTAGAGTCACCCACCTTTGGCTTGGTAGCATCACTTTCAGTCCACTAGGCCAACTGATCTCTCTCTAACATTTCCTAAAACTAGCCACTGAAAACCCTTTGAATCACAACAGTTGAGTCTGTCACCAGTCAGGTGATCAACATAAGACTTCTTGTTGTTAGGTGCCATTGAGTGACCCTGAGAGTGACAGATCTGAACTCTGGCCTGGCCTGTCCCGTCCTCATCATCCCCCACACACTGGAGCCTATTGCCACAGACACCGTGTCCATCTCACCGAGGATCACAACACCGGACAGCACTTCATCCCCTGCTGCATGGGGCTGCAATGAATGAGTCAGGATCCAAGCCGATGGCAGTTAACAGGAACAGGGGCAAATCAGAGTTAAGGTTCAGTTGGTAGCTCGGTTTGCCAAGTCTGCTGAGTCTGTGTGGTGGTCATGGTTGTTATGTCCCAGGGGGTGAGAACCGACTCAGAGCTGACCCTCAGCGGGTTTGCAGAGGCTGTGAGCCACACAGGAGCTGATTGCCTACCTTTTCCCCCAGGGAGCAACTGGAGGATTTGAACCTTATCCCTTTGAGTTGGCAGCGCGGCTCCTTACGGCTGGTCCAGCTGTTGAAAATACAGATCTTCTAAGTAAAGATACTGAAGAAGAGTCAGAGTTTAGACAGCCAGTCGCTGACTTCCTGGCCTATTTAGTGCATAACAACCATAACAGCAAATCTCTTTGATAAAGTCTGGTTACTTTGACTGATATTTTACCTTCTGCAGCTTTTCTCTCATGGAGCCAATTTCTCAAGCTCCCCACATCCCCGTTCTGAACTGCCTTTTCCTCCCATGTCACTTATTTCTCTTAACCACACCAGGCAGCCTTGTGTGTCTTAGGCCTCCTTCAACAAGAATACCCACCCTCATCCTCCTACGTTAACATCTTCCTCATTTTCCAAGAATCCTCTAAGCAGTCCTTCTTCTTCTGCTGAGAAAGAATTCTTCCCCAAGCACACTAGGAGTGCCAGTCACTGAATCCCAGTGAGAACGAGGAGGGGAAAATTAGCCATTTCTTTTAAACCTTCTGGGTCCAGTGGACCCCTTCTCTGTCTTCGACCCATCAATGTATTTTCTTCCATCTCCACTTTATCCATCTCTTTCCAGCCACCTTTCTACGGGCATCTGCCTTCAGTCTCTGCCCATTTAAAAGCCATATTGAGGCAGTCCGTGCAAGTCTTCGGACGCAAGAAGACCACCACAGCCTTGGCACACTGCAAACGGGGCAACGGCCTTATCAAGGTGAACGGCCGACCTCTGGAGATGATTGAGCCCTGCACGCTGCAGTACAAGCTCCTGGAACCTGTTCTGCTTCTGCGTAAAGAAGGCTTTGCCGGTGTGGACATTCGAGTCCATGTGAAGCGTGGTGGTCATGTTGCCCAGATTTATGCAATCCGCCAGTCTGTCTCCAAAGCCTTGGTTGCCTATTACCAGAAATATGTGGATGAGGCCTCCAAGAAGGAAATCAAAGACATCCTCATCCAGTATGACCTGACCTTGCTTGTAGCTGACCCTCGTTGCTGCGAATCCAAGAAGTTTGGAGGCCCTGGGGCCCGTGCACGTTACCAGAAATCCTACCGATAAGCCAGTTTTATAATAAAAAAGTTATGATATTTTTAAGGCTTCAAAAAAAAGCCATATTGAGTAAACTGATGTACAAATACCACAAAGGATGAAAGAATGCTGTCGCATGTCCTTAGAGCAAAACAGGATGGTCCTAGCTGCAAAGTGTTGGATGACTAAGGGGATGGCAAATCCTTCTTTCCTCCTCGTCCTCGGTGATGGATTGTTCCCTCTCCGAGGCGTGAGGGTGAGGAATTTGGTTCTGTGCACTGTCATCGGGAGGTGCTCGGTCTGGGGGTTCACTCACACAGTTCGTCTCATCGTTAGACTAGAAAAGGCTCACTCTCCTTCGCTTGGCCTCCCTCTTCTGCGTCATCTAATAATCTCGAGCCTCGTTCTCTGTCACTTTTCTTCTTTTTGTCATTATGAAAAGTTCTCAGTTCTCAGCTACGTGTAATGCAAGCTCAATAGAGCCTCAAAATAGCCCTGATTTATTTCACTATTGAATCATCCTTTGAGGCAATTCCATCATTGTTCTGTTCTCTTAGTACCTTAATCTCTTGCAGGGCAGTTGGAAATTGTTGATGAGTAATGATAACATAATTCCCAGGGTTGATGAGTAATGATAACATAACTCCCAGGGTGATGAAACAGCAAAATGTTTCAACAGGCAGAAGAAATCAGGCCACGAAGATCCCGTCATGCAGCTCGGGCTTGCCACGGGCTCCCGTGAAGCCGTGTGTAAAGAGGTTCAAATGTGCAAAGGAGAAAGAGTTTACTTCTGGGTTGTTTTGGTTTGGTTTTTGTTTTTGGGGTGTGTGTGTGGAGGTGTGTGTGTACTGTTGAGTCAGATCCTACTGACACAGAAGTTTGCCCCTCCTTTTCTAGTGGAACATCTGGTGGATTCGAACCACACGCCTTCAGGATTGCAACACAGCTTCTTGCCAGTAGGCCACCAGAGCTCCCTTCTTCTGTTTTTAAAACTGGCACATTTTCTTTGTTCTTTGGAGCCCTCTAAAGAATAGATGTCAAGCCGTGAAATAACAAGCTTTGCAAGTAACGTGACTCAAAGAAAAAAACTGAAGATCTAAAATTGGATCCAGTGGGCCCGGATCTTGTGCTGAGGGTTGTCTGCCTCATTCAGGGAGCTCTGGTGGCCTGGTGGCAAAAAGCTGTGCTGCATTCCCCTAGGCCCATGGTTCGAGGACACCAGCAGCTCTGCAGGATAAGGATGGGTAATCTCCTCCCATGTAATTAACTACCTCAGAAAACCCACCAGAGGGTGAGCTGTGGGTCGGTTCTGACCCTGCAGTACGGCAATAGCTGACACGTGACAACAGTAGCTGTCACATGGTCAGGAAGCTCTAGTGGCCCTGTGGTAAGGAGCTGCGCTGCCAAACCAGAGGCATGTGGTTCAAGTCCACCAGCAGCTCTGCAATGTCAGGGTCAAGATGGACAGTCTCCTCCCATGTGATTTACAGCCTCTGGAAACCCACTGGAAGGTCAGCTATGAGTCAGGTTTGACTCAACAGCACGTAACAACAGCAACAGCATGAGGTCAAGGGTCACACTCTCTTTCCAGAGCTCCCTAGGGCTGGCAGGGGCTTTGTTCATAAGAAATGTGTTGGACACACCACTGACATGGGCTGTGGGGGCAGTGAATGTAATCAGTAAGCTGCAACTGTAATTATTAAAGAACGGACACACGCTGCTTCCTACATATGCGCTGGGACCTTGTGCCCCCTAAAAACCTTTGCCCAGAATCCTATTTATCTCTCTCTCTCTCTCTCTCTCTCTCATTCTCTCTCTCTCTCTCTCTCTCCCTTTCAGCTGGGAAACTCAAAATGGATCTCAGCTGAGATGCCACTTCCCCCAGCCCCCAGCCATGTGTGGGCTGACAGGGGACCCCACCTCTCTTTCTCCCCACTCACCCCCATGATGGTTCATAACGTTGTTGTTTTTATTATTATTTTATTAATTTTAATGAACATTTACAGAGATTTTGGATTTGCATTCATATATTGTTGCACTCTGCTCCCTGCCCACCCCTCCCCTCCAGTTCGCTCTTCTCTTTAAAAGTAAAAGAAAAATTCCTCCCTTGGTGATGGTTCATAACGTTTTAAGTGCACATGTGGTGAAGTGTGTGTCTCCTCCACTGGGTCCTGAGAGCCACAGGGGCAGGAACTGTCCAGATTTGCTCAGTGTCCATCAGCAACACCAGCCCAGAGCCTCCCAGGCCCTGCAAGTAGTTTGTGAGTGAATCCCTGACTGAATGCAGATGCCGCTCTGAGCACCGGCTCCCCTCTGCCTGAATCCTTTGTCAGCGCGCTAAGAGGCCCACGCTGAAGGGTAGGAAGTTACAAAGGCTCATCTGGAAAATGCCACTCAGGCCAGCGAGCGTTGGTCCTCGCTGCATAACTCAAGGGTTATGGGGAGTAAGAGGCAGCATGACTGCAGCTGAGGGGTCCCCATCTCATGATGCTGACTTTCATGTAGGTGTGGGGTGACTCATCTGAGACTGACATCAGCAATGAGGCTCAGCACCCCGGGACCAGCACACACACCACCGAGGAGAAACTGAGAAACCGCTTGTACGAGTTGGCGATGAAAATGAGTGAAAAGGAGACTTCTTCCGGGGAGGACCAGGAGTTCGAACCCAAGACAGAGTCGGAGACTCAGAAGGAGAGTCTGTCCTCTGAAGACAACAGCCAGTGCGTCCAGGACGAGCTGAAGAAGGTAAGGACGGAATCCGCTGGCCTGCGGTTCAGGTTTCTGCGGCTGGGGTGGTGGGCAGAGGCTCTGTGTCCCTGTTTCATCCCGCAGACCCCATCTCGAGTGCTTCTCCACCAGCACTCGGGAGTGCCCCTGGGGAGCAGAGAAGGCTTCTGAATCAGGGCAATTAGGAAAGCATCAGGGCCACACATTGTCCCAAGGCCTCATCTCCCTCTAAGCTCCTTCACCCAGAAAGCCCTTCCCTTTGGAGTAATTAATGTCCATGATGCCTCTCACCAGGCCTGGTGGGAGAGGGGACAGTGTGAGATGTCCCTCCTCACACCCTCTTCTGGAGGAGCTCAGCGCATGAGCGGAGGTCTTGTAACCCACTGGCGTTATCCAGTGGTGACACGTCATTTCATGCTGTAGTCTGTATATTCAGAGTCACTTTCTGGATCATTCCACATTGGAGTCCCTTTGCTAGTGTTAGACCCGTAACCCTTTCTCACAGCATGCTGTCCTTTTCCAAGGTGTGGTCCCTCCTAACAGCATTCCCAAAGTGTGTGAGATGAACTTCTCCCACCCTATAAGGTACACCCTGGTTGTACTTCCTCCCAGACAGATTTGGGGTTTTTTGTCAGCCCATGATATATTCAATGCTTTTCTCCAACACCACAATTCAGAGGCATTGGTTCTGACATCTTTCTGATTCATTGTCCAACTTACACATGCAGAATCTGAAATACAGCTGTGCCGTTTGCAAACACACACAGTGAGATTGTGTACACTTGAGCCAGTGTAACTATTCCAGAAGCTCTCCTCCTCTTCCGCTGTCTTTTGGCAATGCACACTGACCGGAAGTCTGATTGTCTGAAGGCTTTCTCTCTGACAGGAAGAGCTCCTCTTTCTGTGTCAAAGACAGGCTGGAAGTACCAGAGAAATAATACTTCTCAGAAGCCAGTGATCAGTAACTAATGGGCTCGGGGCTATGACCTGAGCAAGGATGCTACTTCTATTCATGACTGGCCAGTCACATCAGAGGACATCATGAGGGGGACGGTGATTATGTCATGTTGTAACTGCCAGATTTCATCACTGCATCACTGCCAAATCACCGTCCTCACGTAACTTCCAGATCATGGAGAATCATCACCTAGCCAAGTGGAAACATATTTTGGGGGAGAAAGAACACAGTTCAGCCCATGAAGTCTTCAAAAATGAATTCCCTGTACCCAAATCTTTGGCTGAGACTCTGCTTTTAGGAGAAATCTGACTAAGATAGTAAGCAAATAGGAGCAAATTCTGAATCCTCCATTCCCAGATACTCCGGGGTAAAGAATAGACAGTGAGGAAATCGTAGTGCCAAGTGGCTGCTAATTGCTTTTACCTCGCCAAGAGGAGCCTTGCCTTACACAGAGAGTGTGATGTGGGCTCCCCAGCCCCACCTCCATCCACCACTGTTCCCACTCGCTGAGAGCCCAAGCAGATGAATGTTCATAAACCAGGAGACACAATGACATCAGTGGCTGCTCCGTGGCCTCCGGGTGCCATGTCTTCTAGGAACTGGACTCCCAAATCCTGCTCAGGAGAAGCAGAACCCCTTGAGAAACCATTTTTCTTGATGGATATCGGCCCTTTGCTGAGAACCAGCTTGTCCGTACTGGACAAGGTGGCTGAAATGTCTCACTTTGGCTGGGTTTAGAGGTTCACTGATGATTCAGGGATGGTCACTACCATCTGAAGTTTGGTTTGCTGAGTCATAAGCTGGCAGAGTGGAGGATAGTTCCATACCTTTTGGGAACTGGATTTCTAAACATCGTAGGTCTTGTTTTATTGGTTCTCATCAAACCTCAGTGGCCCATGTTCCAAACATGGGTCCTAAGAGCCTGAGAGTAAGCATTCGCTTCTCTGCTTCCACTGGGAAGGGTGTTACACTGGTACTTGGAAAAGGAAGTCCTGGTTGAAGTGGCTCTTAGACCCACTTTGCTTCCAGGAGTGCAAAAAGGGGCTAGAAAATTCTGGCCTGAAGTTTAGAGAATATTCTCAAGGAGTAAATCCCACAGACCCCCTTAATCTTTACAGGTCTGAAATACAAGATCCTTTCTGGATCAAAAACTTCTTGATATATGATGGATTGAATAGATTTCTGTTTCCTGGCATAAGTATCTTTCTTATACAATTGCTTCGCTGGTGGCCTAGTGGATTCTTTTCTCCAGAAAACCAGCAAATTCTATTTGACAATTGTATTAGTATAAAGGTGTGCTGGTGGCCTAATGTTAAGAAGCTGTGCTGCAGTCCCAAAGGCATGTGGTTTGAATCCACCGGCTGCTGAGGGAGAGAAGGATTCACAGTCTCTTCCCTTATGATTTACTGCCTCTGAAAACACTCTCCAGGCTCTGCTGTGGGTCATTTTCGACTCTATGGCAAACAGCAACAGCAATAACATTCGTATAAAGATGAATAGGTAATATATTAAAATATGTTCCTTGGCCTACTATGTTTTAGTTCTGTTCTCTAGTTTCATTATTTTTAGCTGCCATGGAGCCATCAAAACTCATGGTGACGGAGCTCTGGTGGCCTAGGGGCAAGAAGCTGCCCTGCAATCCCAAAGGTACACGATTCAAATCCACCATATGCTCCTCTGGAGAAGGAGGGGCAATCTCCTCCCGTGCCAGTCGGATCCGATTCGATGGTACACGACAAGAAATACACACAAACACACACCCCCCAACCTCATGGTGACTTTGTATATAACAGACCCACCCACAGCCCATTGTTCACCCTTCAATTGAGGGTGCAGTGGCTGCATGCTTAGCAAACCCACCCAGCAGTTTTCTACAGGAGAAGACGAGAAAATCTGCTTCTGTAGAAATCACAAAGGGGTGGATATAAAATAGGAAAGAGAATCAAGAAGAAGATTCTGTCAGGTGGGAGGGTATGGTGAGGATGAGGAGTCCTGAGTGATCAGGGTCTCTTTAATCAAATTATCTTTTGGATTTAGACCTGAAGGACAAGAAAGAAAAAGTCAGGAAAATTCCCCAGAGTCAGGACCTTCAGGCAGAGGAATCCATGCAAAGTTCTGAAATAACTTTGATAAGATCAGGAACAGAGAGAGGGCTAGGATGGCTGGAGTGTGGTGGCAGCAACCAGACAGAGCGGGCAAAGCCTCACAGGCCACACAAAGAACATTCGGCTTTTGTTCTGGGCGAGACAGAAAGCGTAAGCAGAGAAGTCATGTGGAGGACCTCGCCAGTAGTACGCTCACCCTGGCTGCTGGGCTGCGACTCATTCCAGGTGAACTTACACAACAATTGCCTGTTTCATGAGGCCTCTTCCGAGCCAGGCTTGCAGCCCAGGGGTGCCCTGGTTACTGCCCACTGTGGTAAAGTATTTCTGATCCTTATCAGACACATTTTTAGAAACAAACAAACAAAAAGAGCATTCTTGGGAGAAATAGTGTAATAAAAGTAAAAGATTGAAGACTACAGTCACATCCCTTCCAGGGAAGGAACACCTGCTTCCTTTATTGCATGTATTATTAATATGATTGTCATCAAGTAGGAACCAACCCATAGCTGACCCTACGGTGGGTTTTCAGAGGCAGTAAATCATACAGGAGATTGACCATTCTCTGGCAGAGCAGCTGGTGGATTCGAACCACGTACCTGCGCAATTACAGCACAGCTTCTTACCACTAGGCCACCAGAGATCCCTTTACGTGTGTAGAGGTCTCCTCCTCGTCGTACTCTGGCCTGATCCTCAAACTGAACATGTGGGGTCATTGTACATCAAACCTCCATGGCCTTAGTTATGGAAAGGGCGAGACAATGACCCCAGGCAACTCACAGATCACTTGGTTTCATGCTAGAACTTACCTGCAGACAGTAATCTTTTTGAAAGTTCATTTTCACAGTCATCATTTTAAAAAAGAAAATTGTGCTTCTTCTATCAGTGGCCTTGGTCACTGAGGTGATTTAAGACCTCATTTCTCATGGTCCCTTCTCTCGCTTCCTTGCCATCAGCTCCTGTCCTGACGTGTGCTGCTTTCTTAGACTCGTGCTCCGGTGTCTTTCCACAATCCCCTGCCTCTGTCTTCCATGGACTCTCCCCTCACAGCAGGAGTCTGCTCGGGGAGAATGTATTTTGACGGGGTTTAGAGGCATCACTGGCATGCCTTATGCTTCATGAGCTCTGACACACATTTGCATTGAGATTTTCTAGCAGATTTCTGTCAACTCTTTGGGAGGACATATGGCGTTTCTTTTCTTAACAGAGAAAAGCAGAAAGATACGTCAAATCAGGGCACTTGGACGCATTTCCTTGCTTGCTCGGTGGTTTGATGGAAGTGTTTCATCAAGCCAAGATGGCGCCTGTGCTGTAGGGACAGAGCCAAGTGGGGCCGTAAAGTCTGAGTTACACGGAGAGCAGATTTTCTTACAAAGCACATTCCTTGTTTTCACTCTAATTCTCCACGGCTGCCCCATCCTAGATGGGTTTCGGAAGGAGAGAGAAGGCCTTTTTCCTCCACAGATCTCACAGCCCCACTGTGGCTTGTTCTCACGAGGTACCCAGTTGCCCTGAGTCACCTGTGACGCATCACGACCCCGTAGTTCATGAGAGTAGAACCGTGGTCCATAGAGTTTTCACTGGCTGATTTATTTTTCATTTTATTTTTTGCAAGTAGAAAGCCAGGCTTTTTTCCAGGGAACCATTGGGTGAGCTTACACCGCTGACATTTTGAGTAACTGCCGGTGTGTTCACTGTTTGCACCAACCTCACTTTGGTCTGTTGTTATGTGCCATTGAGTCTCTTAAGGCAAACAGCGAACCTATGCACAACAGCTCTGAGCCCCGCCCTATCCTGAGCCTGTCTCACTGTCTCGAACACACCTGACCCCAGAACCCCAGGTACCGTATCCACTCATCTCATCCAAGGTCGTCCTCTCCTGCTCTGACCTTCCCCTCCACCCTTCCATGCATGATGTCCTCCCCCCAAAGAATGGTCCCTCTTGGCCATGTGCCCAA